CATTAAATCGATGCCTGTTTGTTACTGATACGACGTGAAGGGGGGTTCATTTCGGGTCTAGTCGCAAAGTTACTAATGCGATGTCATCTGTCTGCGCAACAAGTCGTTTTGGCCGAGCGACACAGTAAATATGTGACACTTAACTTTAAAAGATAAAATAAAATCTTTATACAGTGTAAATGACAGGACGGATAAATATACATAACGCATTGACTTAAAGGAAATACCAATTGATAGGCTATATATAGGCCTAGGCCTATATATACTGTATACAGTATATATTGCTGATATATTATCATTTATTTCATATACGCTGTCAATATGCACCATCATAAATGTCATGCCTCCGCAAATGCATTCGTTACGGGCATGTTGCACCAACAGGACAGGCAGAGTTGGCTGAGTAACGGGATGCCGGTTTTGTTTGCCCTGATTAATTAATGTGTCCCACCGGCGATTATCTGACCCGGAGACACAGACACGGAAGAATACAGCGTCCGGCCCGCTTGTTTTCAAACAGGATTACAGATTGCAGTGAGTACGGATGTGAGTAAATAACGATGCGGGACCAAAACGCGGGCCGCTAATAAAACACCTCGGACACCCACCCCTCCGGACAGCATAATATTTACCAATGCGGTGTACAGAGAACGCTGCCAGAAAGCCATTTGACACCGGGCGCCCTGACCTTCCCAATCAATTACTGGCCGCGCCTCCAGGCGCTTCTACAATTTAACCACAAATTCCCCCTTTATGGGCTCGTTTCTAAAGCCCAGCCTTCTCTTTTACACCTCTGCAGAGCCAGGCGGGGTAAAACTCCCCGAAGAAATCTGCACTAACTTGTGCCTTAACAACATGGCTGCAGGACTCAGGCACGCAGTTTTATCGCTCCTTTTGTTGGTTGTGAACTAAATGACACAAGAAGCAAAGGTGTTTAAAACTACCCAGGATTCTAAATATATACCAGAAGGCATGTATTTTGTTAGAAAAATGTAGTTCGATGAAACATCGGGCCATGTATGTATTAAATATCCAAGAAAAGGCACAAACAAAAGAGTCTTATTGTAGAATCCTTTTAAGCAGCGACACTGTTTTTTAATTAATCGACCTGAATTTCGGTTTAGACCCAACATTACAGTGTACAGTTTTTTTTCTCCTAACAATAATGTAAAATCATCCCACTGCCATATATTACGGGTTTCAGGGCGTGTTTGGAAATGGACTTACCGCAGGATGAAGTGATTTACTTTCGACAAGTGAACTGAGAGACAGTAGTAACTTTAGTTGCAATATTAAATATGGCGGCGCAGTTGCGCCACATAAAACAATTATTTTCTGTACGTTTCCCATAGCGGTGGACACAAAGGAAACGTGCGAAAAGCCTTTCTTCCTCATTCATGCAAAAACAGCTTATCTATTTAATATGCACGGTTGGGTGGTATAATGTAATTAAAATTATTTTATTCCAATTGTCCCAACGGTAAAATGAAACATTAAAATCTATTTTGAAAGTAGATAGCGTTCTTAGTTTGCTTATGGCTCCAAGTACAATTAATTTCGAAGTTATTTAATTTACTGGATTAGCCCCAGTCGCTCTACGAGAACTGTGACTCATCACCCTTTACACTTTTAATAGGAATCGAATTGGACAGAGCAAAATGAAATGTTTTTAAGACTGGACAGCGAGATGTTTTTTTCCTCAAAAAACAACAAAATGGTTAAATAATAATAATTTAAAAAGCAATATTCAGTTTTATTTCACACGTATGTATGTATCCTACATGTGACGCAAGAGCCTTTGTACGCTGCGCTTAATATTTCCGTAAAAGAGAAAAAGAAAAGAAAGTGCAAGTGTATGACTCCCCATAATGACACATTGAAACAGAAAGAGCAATAAACCGTTTAAGTCCGATAATCTTTACAACAGTTCCCTGATTTATGCTAATGAAACTTTAGATGCAAAATTTCAAGTAGGCCTAGTTAAAACAAATGACACTAACTCTGGGCGTCATTTGACGGCTCACTCCTGGAATCCCCTAAACAAAACCGTGTTTGTCGAAGCAGTTAGGAAAATGAGATTTTGGTTGTTTTTTCCCTCTCTCCTTTGCATTCTGAAGGTTTCCCCCTTCAAGTCCGAAACATCAAGGGTCATTGTTTTCTTTTCAAATTCGTTGTCACCGCAATTAACAGATTCTGATCAGAGGACTCCTTTAAAATCGACTCCATGTGTGATAAGGAATGTGTAACTTGTTTTCTGTCGCCTTGAAATTATGGAAAAGTTCCAAACCTGTAATTTGAAGAGCCCCCCCCCCCCCCCCGCCTGAAGCCTTTGATCCTGCCGTTTTCCTGAGCTTCATTTCATCATTTGCGATGTGTCACTGGCGTCTTGTGTATTGAGTATGGATCAGCCATTCAGTGACCCCTCTGCATTTGTGTATTTGACTGTTAATTTCAGGGTATGACTTTCTACTCTAGAATTACTGGTAATAATTAAGCACACAATTTGACGAAGTTAATCTTGATCCATTGTTATGAAATGACCGACAATTACAGCAGTCATCGATAATTCTGCATATAAAAATCGTAGGATCTAGATATAGATATATAATTTCCCTGTAAGTATTTCAGTTGTTGCTTGCAGCTTACACAATTTCATATTTTACACATTATAATATAATGGCCTGGACAACCTGGGGATTGCGGGACGTTAGGTCAGCAGTGCTCTACATGGCGAAAAACACAACTGCCTTAATGTTTTTATGGCCGCGCCAGTTTCCTGAATCTGTGTGAAAGTGTTAAGTTAGTGCAAGTGCGTTTGATTGGGGCAATAAATCAGACACCGACCTTGGGGCCCTGACAGGTCCCGGGGATAAGACACGTGTCTCTCCGAACCCGGAGCGCCGTCGAGCGGACCGCAACCTGCAGACACTCCGCCTCCCTTATTTATCCTCAAAACGGAGTAACCTGCGCCTACGCCACTGCCGAGCAATCTATTCTTGGCACAGTCGGAGCGATTGGTGTCCGAGAGTGTAAAACTGCCACGCTGTGTATTTGAAAGTCTTTAAAATTGCAACGCAAACGCTCACTGAATAACTAATACTCTTCCTGAAATTGCCAGTCACTTTCGATATTTTATCTTTTTTTTTTTGCCACATCTTTCTTTCAGTCACAAACTTAAGATGCTAACTGCTTTTTTCCCTCTTCTTTCCGCTGCACAGATGGATTCCTTGTTCCCCGAGTCAATGTCTCTGCTATTGAGTGTTATGTAGTGATTACCATTGCGTACGAAGGGCACTAGACAGCCTCTCTTAATTAATAACCCTATTATACCGGGCATGGTAATGCCGGCGTCACCAGTCACACTGTCAGGGCGCTAAGCAGAAACATTCCGGCTGCACGTTCACTGAATGGATATGAGGTGCAGCACAAGAAATGCAATACAAGAAGTGCAATAAGGCACCTGAATTTTATAATCTATAAAATACAAATGCAACAGCAACAACAATAACAAGAACAGTAATAAGACTGTTATTATTATTATTACCATAATAATAGTAATAATTATTATTAACATGTACATGTTATTCAGTGTGTGTACATGTAATGTACATGTTTTTCAGTGTGTGTGTGTGTGTGTGTATATATATATATATATATATATATATATGAGAAACCAGATCGGCTCATGGCGACTGAAATGAAATATTGTGACTTTAATCCCCCTGTCAGTGCCGGACGAGACTTATTTTGTGTTCAAAATAATCTACAGGCAATCATTTCTTTAACTATGCAGCTGTTTTGCAAACGATTATCCGACATGTGACGGAATAATAAGTGCTGTAATACTACAGAGCTTGTTCCTTGTACATTTTCCTATATTGATTCAGGAAAATTCAATTCCGGATCACATGCTTTGTTTTAATCTATTTTCATCCCGGTCTTAAGAAATTAATCCAAAACTATAATTTTAAGGTCATTCGTTTAAAATGTGACTTTTCAAGAACTTAAGCTGTAGATATATACCTGAATAGGCTTTCTTGTATTTGTAATATAAGCAAATCGTACTCTGTTGGCATAACAGTTTACTTTTCAGATTCAAAAATAATTCCACAAACCGCATAAAGTAACAATCTAGCTCTATATAAAATCAGTATAACATTGTCAACCAACAATGATGATTATGATGATTATTATTATCAATATTATTGTTATTGTTGTTGTTGCTGCTGCTATTGTCGTCGTTGTGCCATAACTTGTGCTAATTTTCATTCAATTTTAGCTCAATTGTATTTTAATCAAATTCATCATACTGGAAAGTTGATCGCTTCTTTTATTACTAATATTTTAAAATTATATATTGAAAAGTCCTCGACTAGGCATTCACTAGGTATTCACTAACAGGTCACACGTCGATTGTTGTTCTTTTAGCGGATCCTCTCTTTAGTTTCCTCTTTGGTGTCATATTGTGACTTGTCACTCTTCGATGCCCCATAATTAATTAGCAAATGGATTCCAACCTGCCTCACATTAGACTGGCTGCTCGCACAACAACAGCAAGGTTTTTGGGTCAATTAAACAGTCTAACGTGCTAATCCGCTTTCGGCATATAAATGTAAACAAAATAACACGTGGATTTGATACAAAATTAGTATTCTGCGAAACAAGTACCGCTCACTTACTTAAACTTATAAGAAGAGAGAATGCATTGTGGTGCTCTGAAGTTAATCACTCAGCAACACTAAAATATTTATTATTTCTGTCTATGTCCAAAAACGAAGAATTAGCTCTGAATAAGGGGCAGGACCGGCAGGACAAATAACTAATGAAATGATTGGCGAGTCATAAAATTAGATTTGAAACCTATTAAAATAGGCGATCGCGACGCCTTTATACTCATATACAGGAAATTCGGGGACGATGAAAGACTAACACAGAGAGGGAGAGAGAGAGAGAGGGAGAGAGAGAGAGAGGGAGAGAGAGAGGGGGAGGAGGGAAAGCGGGCGAGCGAGATCTAGTGTGTTTGTAGAGTGAGACTTGGGAGATAGGAGGGGCTTCTGAACGACTAGAAATGTCAATCAGACCTAAGAGTCCCCAATAATCTAAAGCAATCTGTAAGGACCTGACCTTAGTCCATTCAGATCAATAGTAAAGTGAGGGAGGCGAGCACCATCGGATCGTTAACACTGGCTTTTTTATGAAGAAACATAGACTCCCCTCACAGTTTGTTGTACTCACCGTAAAGTGGATATCGTAGTACTTACAGAGAGTGCGATTCCTGACTTTTTGTGATTACAGAGGCATTCTTCTACCGACATGTCTTTCCCACAGCTGGGATACCAGTACATCCGACCGATATACCCGTCGGATCGCCAGGGTATCGGCGGTGCACGAGCCGGGACGGAACTAAGCCCGTCCGGAGCGCTCTCTAATGTCCTTTCCACGATGTACGGATCACCTTTCGCAGCTGCACAAGGATATGGCGCATTTCTTCCTTATTCAAATGATATATCAATTTTTAATCAGTTGGTAAGTAATATTCATTTATTTATTTATTTTAAAGTTGCAACACATAGTTGCAAGGACACGTGAGCGTGGTTAAGTTTTTCGCTAAAAAAAAAAAACGTAATCAAAGAGGACGCCGTGCACACTTTGTGAGAACTGACCCTGGAGAATAAAACAAACACATTGCTTGGGAAACATTCGGCTAATATTTTAACGAACATAATTTAAATGTGAACTTTTGTCACTTGTTCACTTGTACAAAATACCTTACTGCGTTAAATACCTTTAGCGCTGGTATATAGTATACGCGACTCGTTTTTGAAGCAAATCCGATAAGTGATTAATCTTTTGTGGATCCCTGGGCACATATATGAATACATCTAGATCTCCCTGTCTGCCAAGAGGGCTGCGAAACGCACTGCCTGATGTTTTTCCTTATCATTAGTAGGCCTCTTAACTTGGTTACGCTCAAGTTTTTTGTTTCCGTTACTGTTAACAACCGTGCAAACGGTACATAACCGTATCAGGTACATTACCTGACGTGTTTGCCCTGAGTTGGCTGACCTCAGCAAAACAATCGCAAAGACAAATCCGGCCAGATCGATACAGCCTAGTTACTTTAAGGACTTGCGTCTTCTAAAATGTCTCTGGGTGCTTCAAGATGTGTCTGTGCCATAGTAAAAATAAGGATGTTATGCATTTTTTAAAATATATTTACCGTGGAAGTCACTCTGAAAATGTAAGGTCATACATCCACATATACTATATAGTGCTACCTGTAAATCATTTTTCTTTTTATTCTTTTTAGGGAGCTCAGTATGAGTTGAAAGACAGTCCAGGTGTACAACACCCCGGCTTTCCTCACGCTCATCCCGCTTTCTATCCCTACGGTCAGTACCAGTTTGGTGACCCGTCCAGACCCAAGAATGCCACGAGGGAGAGCACCAGCACGCTGAAGGCCTGGTTAAGCGAGCACCGCAAAAACCCGTACCCCACCAAGGGGGAGAAAATCATGCTGGCCATCATCACCAAAATGACCCTCACCCAAGTGTCCACCTGGTTCGCCAACGCCAGGAGAAGGCTAAAGAAGGAGAACAAGATGACCTGGGCGCCCAGAAGCCGGACTGATGAAGAAGGGAATGTTTATGGCAGCGATCATGAGGGGGATGATGGAGACAAACGAGAAGACGACGAAGAAATCGACTTAGAAAATATCGACACGGAAAATATCGAAAATAAGGACGACCTAGACGATCAAGATGATCTGCACGCTGATATAAAGCTCGACGGAAGAAGCGACTCTGAAATTTCGGATGGTTTTGAGGACTTGCATGGAGCAGACCACAGATTTCTTAAAACCGTGGTGAAAGAGGGAAAAGACGTGAACGGGGACCGAGATGAGCATTTCCATCACCATTCATTAGAAATCAAATCGACGCAACCCAACAACGCTGAGCAAGTGAAAATAAACCAAGGTGCCATCGGTTCCCCACCCTCAGAAAATAACGCTGCCCCAGCCCAAAAGCCTAAAATCTGGTCTTTGGCTGAGACGGCGACCACCCCGGACAATCCCAGAAAATCTCCACTTGTGAATGGAAACTGTGCTGCGACCGCGACACAAGCGATAATCGCCCCTCACAGACTTATCTCTTGTCCGGTCGGGAAACTTCAGAACTGGACAAGCAGGGCTTTTTCAGCGCACCAGCTGGCGTTGATAAACTCAAACCATTACCTCGGACTGGCGAACCAGGCATCGGCGAACGGTCTTGCGATGTACGGCAGACAGACAGATGACAAGGGTCATAACTCTGAATCAGCTGTAACAGGTACCAGCCCCCTAGACTGAGATTCGTACGTCATTATTTTTTGTGGCACGTTTTATTTACAAACAGAACGTAATACATTTTATACCGGACTGGAAAGACGTTTTAGTTTCTTTTTACGGCGTAATGTCAATAAATCTGGATGAATGTTACAAAGGATGCATCTACAGAGTGGCAACGCAGCTTGAGTTCTGAGCTGTATTAATTAACTCAAAGAGAAACGCAGGGAGGCCTACCGGGGGTACAATAATCATAGCCTATATATATTTGCCATGTGTTTCTTACAAATGAAACGACTAAACAGGGGGGATATTTTGAATGATTAAACTCAGTATTTGCTTTTAAAAAATATTTTACAGTGTGATAGTTTTGCTTACTGGAATGCTGTATGTAAGTCGGTTATTCACTGTCACATTTTGAATTCCAGTGGGCCTGAAGTCCCACTGAATATGGTCCTGCCTACCACATTTAGTTAGTTATGTTGTTTTGGTGTTTTTTTGTGAGTAAAAGTCATAGGCCCTATAGCCAATTTTGGCAGAATTATGATTATCGAAAATACTCTCCGTCCACGCCATATTATTATTATTATTATTATTATTATTATTATTATTATTATTATTATTATTTCAGAAAGATCTAGTGCCTTGGAAGCAGAGAAAAAGTTATTAAAATCGCCTTTCATCCAGTTCAAAGACGGTAAGCGAGCATTACGTTATTTACTTTGGATGTATTTGTGTTCTTCAACTGTAAATCCGCTCTGTTTTAATGCGTTATCAAAATACCAGTTTTAAACGCGGGCCAGGGTAAGGCTTTGTAGCATCACGTACGTCGTTTCATGTTGAAGTGCAGCCTGTTTAAAACAGGAAGCTCCGACTTAGACTGCATCGAATTATTGACGGTCAGTTTTTTGATCGTAGTCCCGAATCCCCTTCGGCATAAAGAGTACACATCATGGTAAAGAAATATTTTCATCACATTAAAAAAGAAAAATAATCTTATGTGTTTTCCAGGCCTCAGAACCCACTAGAAGCAGCAGTGGTTGTATCCGTGATCCCCTCCTTATAAGCGTTCTGTTTTTTATTTTTATTTTTATTTTAAAATATATATATATATATATATATTAGTTTATTTCGAACAGTTGTAAGGAATGTAAAATATTAATACTAAGTCTCTGTATACGTACCTTGTAAGCATGTGCTGTGTAAAACTGCTAATGTAATATTGTATGAAATTGTGGTCCGTGAGCTTTTCTTTTTGTAAGTTCCGTGAGGATTTGATGTTTAAAATGTTTTGTATATACAGTAAAGAAAATGTACATACTGGTGACCCAAATTGTACAAGAAAGTATATATTTTGGCTAATAAATGAACCGTTGGAACTTTATCATATCATGTGGTTTAAATATTATTTTCCTTTGTGTTTGGTATTTATGAAGTGGCTCAATTATGTTGGTATTTTTCGTAAACTGAAACGTTGAGACAATTTAAAGTCAACGGTGATGCCGAATAGCCTTAGGCGCGAAAGGGCTGTTTTCTTTGCATCGTAAAGTACGAAACAAATAGATGGATACACAGTGTTTTCGTGATTAAAGGAATTATAGCCAGTTCGGGCTGTAATTATCTATAGTAAAATTAAAAAGTGTGTATTTGGATATAGATACTGTATTAGTGAATTTTACTTAGACAAAAGAAGCAAGTTTACATATGATTTAGGCCTATAATTATTCCATTTTGAATAAAATAGTATGATCTTGAAAATATTTTGGTGAAAGGCTGAATGCACAGGGTGGTTTTATTTTTTCACGGAAAAATATTTCAATGAAATAGCCTTTCATTCGGAGGCTGCTTGCAAAATCATAATTTTCATTTTATGTTTGCGATTTAGCCCTTTAAATATTTAGTATGAATTCTAATCAGACATTGATTCTGCATCGCTCTCCATATGCCTGCAATGCATAGTGAAATAATTTATTTATGTTTGTTTTCTCCTCTCCAAGATAATTTGCATATTACTAGCTTTGTTTAACGCCTAAAGAAAGTTTGCGCAAAGTTGGGATTCGAGCTCCCTCTACAGGTTACCGCTTCTCACCAACCAGCAGACCAATTCCCACGTCCGCGGCTCGCTGCTCTTCTCATCCGGCGATTTCGAAATGCTCACTTTAGACAAAATACAAAATTAACGACCGAACATTTTCCGTGATTTTAAGTGATCTTATGTTCTTAATTGCACATTTTATGTTCTTAAATCTGCTGAACATACCTTTAAATAAATATCACATAAATCGAAAGTATTCCTGCACTTTCGTATATTAAGAATGGTCTAATAGAAACCAATAATTGCAAATAATCAAACTGGGTGCACCCGTGTGTCTGTTAGTTGTATTTGTGTTTAATGGTGGATTAAAACAATATAGCTATAACAGAGTTATAGCACACAAATATGTTTATGGTTAGGTTAATGCATAAAATGTAAATTTCCGGGTGTGTTTGCGTGCGCGCGCGCGCGTATGTGTGTGTTTGTGTATGTGTATATATATATATATATATATATATATATATATATATATATATATATATATATATATATATATATATTGCCAGGACATGACAATTCTGGAAAATATTGTGATATTGTGACAGACAGTAACCTTAATTATTTTGTGGGGTGACATAACAAAATTAGCTTCCTACATTGAATTTTTGGCAGCTTTACTGTATTGTATTTTATGTGATGTAATTTTTATTCTTTTAATTGTTATTGTTATGTTGTGGATGTTTGTATCCTTACATATTAGAAACCAGGGAGTAGCCGGCTGTCCCTTTCCTACGACCGTGGCATTAACATAAAATTAATACGACAAACTGACATTTTTCAGAAATCCGACGACTGGCAATAAGTAAATATTTAGTCACGACTTTCTAAAGTGCAAAGAACTACATGTAAAACTTGTTTTTTTAAGGCAACGAATGTGTAATGCCTGTTCGCTCACGTAAAGAGAAAAAAATCTATACAAAACAGATTTTAAAATATTTTTTTTCCATAGCTATATTAGCTATATATAGTGCTAGTGCGGACCTCAAAGGAAAATAACGCGCAATAACAAAGTTCAACTTAAATCCTTTAAAACAGGATTTATGTATAAATGATTTATTTCATTTTTTGTTTGCTTTCATGACTCCATCAAATGTAGGCTTATTTATCTTTTATTAAGCACTGTAACTCTGTATGTTAAATCATTATAAGATGCTTTCATTTTTCATTTAACTAACTGTAGTCAAACACAATCTTCTTCGCTAAGTCTCCTCTCCGCAGTCCTAAAACACATTTACAAAGCATAATGACTCCTTCGTACGCTTGTTTAAAAATGCTCTACGCAACACGACACGAAGCTTAAGGAACTGATGGTCCGGGTAAAGGATTATAAAGAAGATGATATACGCGACAGTGGGTCGGTATTTAACACCTATACGCGAAGTGGCAAGGCTTAGAGACCCGACCGAATGAGCGAATTCAGCTAGGGGGGCTTTTATTTCAGTAAAAAAAATAAAAGACCGGCCTTTCCCAGTTCTTATCCCCACGCTGCCTTCCTGTCTAATCAATTAGGTTGCCGAGAAGCCTCCATCTAAGTGAGCACTCATTATGCATATTCATAAATCACAGCGTCCGTCACTGACACTGATTGATGTCATCATCTTGCCGGTTTATGGGCGCTTTCTCTTAAAAGCGCTGGCCGGTCGCAGGCAAAGGGAAGGCGCAGGGGGAACCGCGCTGCGTGAGTGACCAGCAGCTCCGAAGCCAAAAGACGCTCGTAAGGAGACCGTGCTTTCAACATGTTCCCATTTTAATAATCCGATTTAAAAACATAGAAAAAGAAAAACAGAACGGGGAATTAGCATAAAGTCGGCCTTCTTTTAAATAAGCAACAGCCACCAGCGACGCAGAAGTGAGAAGGACGATACGACGATAAAGCAATGGAAATTTAGGACTATAGCTGCACTTTTTGTTTATAAGATTTGGGTGTAAGTGATATATTTCCAAATGATGCTAAATTTTAAACGTAATAATTAAGATATTTTTCGATAATTTCCAAGTAGGCTAATTGAAAAAAAAGTAGGCTACTAAAAATCTGTAAAATGATTTCTGAAGTCGTACTATATATTTTGCAGAGATCCTGGTGTATACATAGCACGAATGCAGGCATTAATAACTAACCGAAATAAATGTATGTGGACATCTTAAGACATGCCGTTAACAAGAATGAAGGAGTCTTGGTGGATCATTAGAATTAAATTTAAATGGGCAGCAGAGGGCAAAGCGCGCGACTTCACCGATCCAGCTTCCGCCTGATCATTGCATAAAATTACTGATTAAAATGCCTGACCAGAAACAAAGTAATCATGGAGGCTTGTATGGCCGTACATGTCCGACAGGCGTGTTTTACTATGCAGCAAATGGGACACATTAAGCGACACTCCGCTCGGAGCTACACGGGGCCATTTCCAGTAGGGCATGGGGTGCTATTCATTTATTCGCTCGCTAAGTGGCTGTCCTTGTGGCTAATGAGCAATAATCAACACTGACTCCTCTTTAATTTTTTTGCTCGGAGCAATGTTAAACACCCTGCCACTTACACAGACACACCAGAGAGGCTTTGAATACACTGATGTGTGTTTGGAATGGGGGGGAGAGCAGTGGCGGCTCACACATAAACAGGGCTACACATTAAAGAATTAAATTGACAGATTTTTAACCCTCCCCACCACACTCATCACTAGTGACTCGTTCATCTTAGCCTCTCACCCCCTGCCTGCCCCCCGACTGCCTTCCTCAATCTGGTTTGTGACAAGCCCGCCCCCCCTCCAGGATGTCAGAAGCAACTGGTGGGTTAGCCTGCCCCTCCTGGCCAGTTGTGGGTATTACATTCGGCTTTCGGGGACACACCCCAAGCCGCGTGTCAAGGTGTGTGTGTGCGCGTGTGGACACAGGAAACAAGCAGGAAGGTAACGCAGGCTAGCGTCCAGTCCTGTTTCTTTTTTCATATTTATTAATTTGGGAGGGGGCACTGCCCACCATATTCACCATTACTGTTCAACAACAGCAATAATAATAATAATTTTGTGGCTATATAATTAGATAGTACACATATTATAACACACACATATAAACTACATCATATGGATAAAATATAGCTTTTTATTGTCTCTTATTCAGTTCATAATAATCATTAATGTTTCGAATAATAATTGTATCGTTTTTATGTGAACAATCGTATCCACAAAGGGCCAGTGCGTTTGCAGGATTTTGGGAGAACCTTTAGGTCAGCCGTTCAAACCCAGGTGTGAGGACTCTTCAGCCAATCAGTCCTCTAATTACTAATCTAATTAAGGAGTTGCAGCGAAAACCCGCACACACAGCGGCCCTTTCTGGGTAAGACTGGCCACCCCAGGGGTACATGAACAGGGGTACAGGGGTTTCTCGCATCACCCTTGTCACCCTGGTGTGTGCATCCAGGACTGACATAAGTGGCTGGACACGCCGCAAGGAGGAATGTTGGGGGGACAGGAATCTCCCTCGTCTCACATGCAGTAGGGTCAGATTGGAAGGTGCAACGGCAACTTTTGCTGTGACCGTTTAGGAATGAAAAGAAATCATGGACGTATGATTAGAAGGCTCACCATCCTCCCCGAAAAGTCGGGCTGTGCTCACTGAGCGGGAAGGCAGGTTGAGGGCTGCTGCACGTGTTAAATCCCCCCCCGTAGGCAGTGCAGCCTGTTGGATGTACAAATGTCACTGCTATTGTAGAAGGTCTCCTACTGTGAAGGGGCTATGCCCTTTGTCCATCATTTTAATCCATTTATGAGGCCATGATGACTGCCCCTCTCTGAATCACTGCGAGGCGACCACTTCCTGCCAGTGGTAAGGAGTCGTTAAAGAATCCAGCCAATCGGATGTCATGCCGCACTCTCCCCACCAGAAGTGTAACATGCTTGTAACAATTTCTGTTATAGCAGAAAGAATAACAGCCTGGTTGACCAAGCCGGACCTCAAGCGCAGGGCCGTCTGGCCGCTAGTCTGAGGATACCCATTGTCCCATAGCATTTGTCACTTGGGGCTGGGCGGACAGGGAGACAAAAGGGCAGAGAGAGGAGCATTCTGGGGGGGTAGCGGCAAAGAGGACCCTGATTTCACGCACATTGTTGGGCGAGGTTAGAGAGGGGGTTGCTTCCATCGAATCAGAATGGCAACAAGCGGGGGGAAGGACTAGGGGCGTGGGTGGGGGTGGGCCCCCTCCTTAGCCGCTCACCGGCCTGAAAGAGCGCGATTTTCTTGGCCCCCACAGATTTATTTTGCCAACGTAACAGGGCAATTATGGAAATGGAACCTTT